CCAGTCACACAGTAGACCCGAAGTGCATGGCTGTTTTGGGATCTGTTCTGTTATGATATGTTATGCGTGGTATATGTGGTTGGTATTTTGGGGGTATCTCACTAAGCTTTCGGGCTTACAGTTGTGGTTTAATGTTTTTCAGGTACTTCAGGAGACCGTGACAAGGCGAAGGCGTGATTGTACCGCTCCTCATGTTTATGTTTTATGAAATGGCTCTGGGAAGCCTCTGATAATAATTGTATTGAAAACCTTTTTGTAATAACTTAACGAAATGATGGGTTTTAGCCAAAAGACATCCTATGTGCTCATGCAAACCCTAAAGCTTGGATCTAGGTTTCTCTATTGTACATGCTTTTAATCCAAGACTTAAAACCCTAGATCTAATCAATATATCAAATGAATTAGGGTTTAGATCGTACCTTGATTGTTATATAGTAATAACAATCTCAATTCCTTCTTGTATTGACTTTAGAAAGCTTAGAGTCACAAATGTCACTCCTCTAATGGCTCACAAACACCAAGAGCAAGAGGATGAAGAAGAGAAGAGAAGGAGGTTGCCAAAAAACGTGTGGAAACCCTAGAGAACTAGTTCACCATGTTTTTGAGGCTTAAGGGTATATTTATACATGTAGGCTATTAGGGTTTTTAACTAGGAAACCCTAATTTGGATGCTTAGGCCCTAAGCAACCCATGGACCCTTTTCTAACAAGCCTTGGACGATTTCTAATGGGTTTCCCCATAGAATTCATCCAACCTTAAGTAATAAGGTAATCCATAGCCCAATTGCAATTATCTTATAATTACAATTCCAGTCCCTTAAGTTTAATTAATCTCTTTTAGTCACAAACTTAATTCTTATTAATTCTTGACTAATATTAATTAAACAATATGATTTCTCCTTTAATATATTATTCTCATAATATATTAATAAATCATAATTAATCCTTTCTCTCCATAATTCATCCTATCAAGTTGCTTTGGTGAAGGCAACTCAAAAGGACCATGCACCATCAGGTCAAGTACATACCAAAATAGTTATGGACTTAGACACTAATCCAACATGAAATTGGGTAGCTTTTGAAAAGTTTAAATTGGTTGAAATTTTTAGAGTGTTACACTTTGAGTTGGGCCTTCCTAGTGGGCTATGGTGATTGAATTATTGGTGGATTGTCCAAGAACAAGCTAATGGACCAAAATAAGTAGATGGGCTTTAGGATAAGGCCCACATGAGGATATGGGCCCAATTTGGAAAATTGGGCCATAATTGAGCCTTTATGACTATGTGATAATGGGCCATGGGAATTGGATTGGAATAATCGAATGGGCCTTAAGGAAAGACCATGTAGAGGTCTGGGCCCAATTTAGAAAATTGGACCATATGTTGGACTTTGGCCCATTATTTTACTTTTGGGCTTTTGTGGTGTGAGTTAAACCTTGGGCTTGGAACCCAATTATTAATTGGGTATTGTTTTATGTTGACAATGCAGGAATCTGTCAACCAGCAGCTGGGGTTGTATCTGCGGGACTTCAGTAGTGCCAGGTGAGTTATCCTCACTATACTAAGGGGTCTAAGGCACCAAGGCCGGCCCATTGGATTTGATATCCTAGTAGTTATTGATATGTTGAGTTTTAGTTAGTGATGTATGCGAGTTGATATGCTAGTCGGGTAGACCTGTAGGACTACCTGTGATACTGTAGGATTATTTGTATGTGCATTAGTTATGATACATGTCGACATGTTATGTGGGATGGGTTGAGGTTGTACTGCTCCATGCGGTAGCCAACAAACCCTAGAATATTCCAAATATGAGCTGAGGGCCCGGTAGGCATTCCAGACTCATACTGAGGACTCGGGAACATTCCAGATACGAGCTGAGGGCCCGGTAGGCATTCCAGACTCGTACTGTGGGCTCGGGAGCATTCCAGTTACAGGCTAAGGGAGACTCGTACTGTGGGCTCGTGGGTATTATAGTCTATAGGGCTGTGGACCCGTTATGTGCTTATCTGTTCAGTTTGTTCTGTTATGATGTTGCTGACATGGTTATGTGGACTGTATGTGTATCGGTATTTTGGGAGTAACTCACTAAGCTTTCGGGCTTACAGTTTTAGTTTATTGTTTCAGGTACATCAGGGGATCGTGGCAAGGCAAAGGCGTGATCGTACAACTCCTCGCTTTTATGACTATGTTTCTGGGATACTCTGATATTAAACTATTTTGAAAACATTTTGTAATGACTAATGGGTTTTGAATTGTTTAAAAAGTTTTAAATTGGCTTGAAATTTTAGGGTGTTTGGACCAACGACCTCATCATCGGGATGTTACATAATTAATATATATTAAAATAATTTAGTTTTTCATAATTGATCCTTGATGTATGCATAATTTTCAGATTTGGTCCAAGCGCATTTTGGTCATTTAGAAAAAAAAACTAATTACTCAAAAGTTAAAGTTAACTCCAGAAGGACTAATCATGCAATTTTTGAAACCATAAGGACCAATGGTATAACATTTTTCATATAAGTCTTTAAAGTGCAATATGTTGCAAACCACATGGACTAACTATGAAATTTTGTCTAAAAATTATGAATGATGTAAGATGAGGTAACTTGAAGCTTTGATTTTAATAAACCATAAAAAAAATAATGATTAAATGTAGAATTAGTAAAATGAGTTATAAGGCTTGGAGGAGTGGATGTTGTTTCACCACATACAAACCACTACGACCATAGGGAGCACATCCCCTGACCATGGTTTCGAGTGCGGTTGACCGCACACATAGTAGTAGGCGTCTGTATTCAACTTTCACCCACTTTTCCTTTTACCAACTTTCAAAGGTCAAAATTTAATTTTTTTTATTTTTTTTATTACCTACAAATATAACCTCGTAACCATTATTTTACCACACCTTCATCAAATTATCTTTCAACTTCTTTCTTTCAAAATTTAAAAAATGTCTTCTTCCAACAACCCAAATAGTCAAAAAACACTCACTACTCCAAGATCTCCGTATAATCAACCGATTTATTCGTCCCCGGTGTATCACTATGGTGGTATACTACCGTATTATCCGCACCAATTCTCGCAACCATAAAAATTTCCACCACAATATGCAGTTATGCACAACGATACTCCCAACCACAACCGCAAACACCAACACAACCACAAACGATCCCGAGGTTAACATGTTTGATTTTTTGTCCCAACTAGAATTTGTTCAACAAACTCTAACACCCATTTCTGGTACCGAACCCGAGTTCTTTCGAGAAACCCAACTCACTTAAGCACCAAATAAAAGAAAATAGAAGGTGGTGGCAAAATGATGGGTGCCTAAAGAAGCGTTATGTTTGGCACAATCATGGATCGATATTTCAGAAGATGCGACAACAGGAAAAGACCAAAAACATTATCGTTTTTTTATGCGAGTTAGAAAAAGGTTCCACAAAGGGAATGAAGCTTCCTGGGTATCGTTTGAAACACCAAATTTACTCAAAATGGGGAAAGACAAACAAGAAAGTCATGTTGTTTAATGATTTGTATACCGACATGAAACGTCAATAGAAAAGCGGAGAAAGTGATGAATTGATTTTGTAGAAAGCTTTAAAAGTGTATCAAAAAAGAAAACAAAAATGTTTTCAAGTTTCTTGAAGTTTGGAATCTTGTGAAAGATAACAAAAAATGACAAAACAACAAAACATCTTAATAACATATCGATAGTTGTTCAAAACGATCAAGAACATCTAAATCTAACTACACTACATTTGTGTTGGTTTTGATCTCAACAATGATGAGCTCGTTCAACTTTCACCACCTTCCTGACCAATAGGAAGGGACAAATCAAAACAAAAAGACAAAAACAAAGCAACAGATTCAAATGATTTAAAAGAAATGGGGGACGATGTGAAGGGTATAAAAGAAAGAATAGACAAGTTTTTACAAATTGCCTCCAACAGAGAGTTTAGGAAACAAAGAGATGATGGTATGAAAATACTAACGCTAGACACAACGAACATGAGTGGGGAGAAGCTTGAAATTGCTTTGACGATGAATGTCGGACTTAAAAAGTGTTATGCTAAGTAGGTTTTGAGATTTCTAGTTTTTTTTTTCTAAGTTTTTAATTGTTTGATGTGTGTTTCTTTTAAGTTTGTAGGTTTAAGTTTTCTAGTTTTTTTTTTCTAAGTTTTTAGGATTTTTTTAGTGTCATCTTATCTTTTTTTTAAGTAATACAATGTAATGGTTTTTAATTTTTAAGTAATGAAATTTATGTTTTTTTTATTAAAATTAAAGTTTTTATATAAATTAAACTGTAAAAAAATATGACACCACTCCTTGTTTTATATCCTCGTTTTTATCCAAAGGAAAGGTTAAAGTTATTAATATAACATACTAATGTATATTTAATAGCATATGAATGTTAAAAATAATTCAAATAAGAAAAAGATAATTTACAAACAAAGAAAGAAAAATATAAATATGCATTGTTGCACTTTGGTCTACAAAACCAAATTCAGTTGTACAAAACCAATTTGAGTCGTCTTTCTCAAATATTTCAATAACCAAAGAGCTAATGGGCTAGCGGTATGGAGGGACCATTTCATTTAAGAGGTCAGGGATTCAAGTCTCGGTGGAAACATAAGTGGTTATTTAGGACTAGATTAGTTCGTTTACTGTTTCAAAAAAAAAAAAAAAAAAAAAAAAAAAAAAATTAGATATCAATAATTAAATGTTATATATTTATTATAAAAAAACAAAATAATTAGATAAAGTTTGAAACCAAATAATATATTGATAATATTTAATCAATTACGGGAAACCATATTGCTTAAAGGAAAGAAAAAAAAAATAGCACCAACCTTAAAAATACATTAAAAACAAAATAAAAATGTCGATTTAATAGTTATAGAATAAATAAATTTGATTGAATTGCTTAAATTGGATAATAATAGCAACTATAGTAGCATCTTTTTATTTTGTAAAAAGAAGATAAAAGAGAAATAGGAAACGAAAACCTTTTTGAATTCATTCATTTCAATTATCGGTGGGAGTGTGGGACCACAAATACAATTTTAGCAGCAGCCAACAACCTGAATAAATACTAAAACTCATTCGATTCCAATTCCAACAACAAACATTCCACCACCAACAGAACTTGCTCTACCACTGATACTATCCGTCTACCGGAGAAAATGAGCGGTGCCGGAAAGACGGTGTGCGTTACCGGAGCATCTGGATACATAGCTTCATGGCTCGTCAAGCTCTTACTTCACCGTGGTTACACTGTCAAAGCATCTGTTCGCGATCCCAGTCAGTTTCTATCTATAACTTGTTTTATGTTTTTGTTTCACTGAAATCTGTGCTTGAATCAGTCTATCTGCAGAATCCTTGTTAATTCCTAATATCTATGTTTATCATTCGTCCAATTTGATTTTAGGTTTATTAATTGCGACGAATTCTTCTTACAATAATCGCGCTTCAAATATTACACTTCCTAAGTGCGACAATTAGTGTCGGATTTTTATTCTGAAATACGGAATTCATCTGCACAAGTATAACTAATTTTCTGATAGAAATTATGCATTACATAGTAATTCAACTGAAATGTACATCTTCAACCATGGGGTATTGAAATCCGAACACTTGTAAGAATTTCTGTATGATGTAAATGTAATCCCCTGAATATCAAAAAATTGGGCGTATGCTTTCAACTTACCTTTCAATTTAGGAATTGCATATTGGATTTGTCTAATTGCTGGTTTTCTGGGATCTTTAACTTTCAGACAACCCTAAGAAAGTAGACCACTTGCTTAAACTTGAAGGAGCAAAGGAAAGGCTTCATTTGTTCAAAGCAAACCTACTTGAAGAAGGCTCTTTTGATGCTGCAGTTGTTGGCTGTGAAGGTGTTTTCCATACAGCATCTCCCTTTTTCCATGCAGTCACTGATCCACAGGTTTTTCCAATACACTACCAATACGTATATTAAAAATACCAAAATCTCAACTTCAGTACAAATTCAAAAGGCAAATGATGGATAAATGATAAAAGGATAAATCTCCTTGATAGCTTGTTGGATTGATGATGTTAAAAACACAGTTCTTGAATTGTGAAGTTTTGATTCTTGTGTTTCAGGCAGAATTAATTGATCCTGCAGTGAAAGGAACATTGAATGTGCTTAATTCATGTTCAAAGGCTTCATCAGTTAAAAGAGTTGTAGTGACATCATCAATTGCTGCAGTTGCTTACAATGGTAAACCAAGGACTCCTGAAGTTGTAGTTGATGAAACCTGGTTCTCTAATCCAGATTTTTGCAAAGAAATGAAGGTATAAATATAATAAATACACTAACTTTAATATTGTTTAAACTTATGTTTTGGGGTCTGATTTTTTTTTTTTTTTTTTTTTTTTAATGTTTGTACAACAAGATGTGGTATGTGGTGTCCAAAACATTGGCTGAAGAAGTTGCATGGAAATTTGCAAAAGAAAAAGGATTGGATATTGTCACCATAAATCCAGCTATGGTGATTGGTCCTTTATTACAGCCTACTCTTAACACTAGTGCTGAAGTTATTGCAAACCTATTCAATGGTAAGTATTATTTGTTAAAAAAAATTTAAAATTCTGTTTATTATATCATCCAACTTTCATTTCTTCCTATTACACATTATAATTTGAAAAAACTACCCTACTACAGATTCAAATGAAAAGAAATATTTATTTAATTGGTAGAATTTTAAAATACAATGTCCTAGTTACAAAAAATTGGAAGTATAATGCCTTAATAAGAAGAAAAAAACTAGAAAGTATAATGTTTTAAGAGAAAGAAATGAAAGTAGTATGTTGTAATAATTAATAAACAAATAAATGGAAGTATGTTTGCTCTTTCTTGCATTTATCTCTTGTTAAAATGTTTGTAAGTGTTCATTTTTTAAGAGCTAAATGCAAGAATTAGGCAATAGCAATGTGTTTCCATTTAGTTGTTTATTGCACTTTAAAAATTTACTCAACTTTATTTTTTTCCGGAAAAACACCTTACGTGTTTTTTCGTGTTTTCCAATCCGGCCTTTTTAGTCGTTTTTTCCGAAAAAAGTTGTAAAATGTGAGGGTTTTTCAGAAAAAACTAAAAATTTTGAGGGTTTATTTGGAAACAGTTAGAAGGATGAGGGTTTTTTTTGGAAAAAAAAAAAGACTTGAGGTTTTTGTTGGAAAAAATGAAAAAATAAAAATAAAATACAAGGTCTTTTTCAAGAAAAAAAAATAAAGATGAGGTTTTTAATCTAGAAAAAACATACAACATAAGGTCTTTTATGAGATTAACCCTTGAAAATCTAATAAAAGACCTTATATTTTATGTTTTTTCCGGATTAAACCTCATTTTTATTTTTTTCCTGAAAAAGACCTTGAATTTTTTCTCAAAAAAAACCCTCAACTTTCTTTTTTTCCGAAAAAAACCCTCAAACTTCTAACTGTTTCCAAATAAACCCTCAACTTTTTTTTTTCTCGAAAAAACCCTCACATTTTACAAGGTTTTCATGGAAAAAAAAAACCCTAAAAGGGCCAGATCGGAAAAAATGAAAAAAATACAAGGTCTTTTATGAGATTAACCCAATAAACAAATACATGAAAGTAAGTTGCTATTTCTTGCATTAATTTTTTTTTTATTTGTATCATATCATTATGTAGCACAAACATATGGAAATTCAACCTTTGGTTGGGTTAATGTTAAGGATGTTGCAAATGCACATATTCAAGCTTTTGAAATCCCTTCAGCAAGTGGAAGATATTGTTTGGTGGAAAAAGTTGCTCATTTTTCAGAAATAGTCCAAATATTACGCAAACATTACCCTGAATCTCAACTTCCACAAAAGTAAAGCTTCTACTTCTTTTCTTATTTATTTATATTTATTTATTTAAATTGAAAATGGGGTGTTAATAATGTGTTATGGTTACACAGGTGTGCGGATGACAAGCCTTTTGTTCCCACATACCAAGTGTCAAAGGAAAAGGCAAAGAGCTTGGGTATTGACTATATTACCCTTGAAGAAAGCCTCAAGGAGACTGTGGAAAGCTTGAAGGAGAAGGGCTTTATTGGGACTTCATCAAACATGTGAAATCATTCTCTCACAACTTTGTCATGGAGATTGAGTAATAATAAAAAGATGTTTTAAGTGAATTAACATCTGGTATTGAAACCAGAATGGAGTTATGTATTATGAATGAAATGTATTGGAGCTTATTTCGTCCTTTGTTTCTAGACATCATCTAGTTAATTTAAAGACAAAATTGCAAAAATGGTCCCTGTGATATGCATTTTCTTAGAGTTTTAGTCCAAACTATGACTTTTTTTTATTGGTGGTTTTTTAAGCTAGTTTCGTTGCATTTTTAGTCCTCTGAATAGTAAAATGACTGTAATACCATTGGGGTATTTATTTTCCATTTTTAAATCATTTTTTAAAATTTAATAATTATTTATTCATTTTAATAATTAAAAAAATGAGAGGGCCCACCTCTCTCTCTCTCTTTCTCTTTCTCTCTCTCTCTCCAAACTCCACCCCTCCTTCGTTTTCGTTAACGACCAAGAACTCCCCACCAGAAGTGGAGCCGTTTTTCCAGCCACCAAGACATTCGAGGTTACATACAACCACCTCCTGACACCGCCTATTCCGACAATCCTCACAGTCGCACTCTACCACCATCCATCGTTGTTGTTGTTCCCCTTCCTGCTCGTCAATCCAAGCCAAACTCCAAAAACTGAGGTAGCAAAGCCGCCGGAGGCAGCTCACCACCCCACTACACTGACTGCTTTCCCTTTTTACTCTCGTTGTGTATTGTCGGACGAGAATCCAACTCCCTTTTCTATCCAGACGATCTGGAACCCAACGAACATGAATCCAACTCCTTTTTCTATTCAAATCACTTCAAAAATCCCTAAATCACATTCATATCTTTTGATTTTTGAGTTCATTGTTGTTCTTAAAAATCTGCAGGTTCTTATTATTCAGATCAATGGAAGATTATAACTGATCATTCATCTGTAGATTGAGCATAATAGCATCTCTTGTTAAACAGAACACCTTGATTGACATAAATGCAGATCTTTAAACGAGGCACGCAATGTGTTCGATGAAATGCCAACAAGAGATGTCGTCTTCTGGACTTCCATGATCTTTACTTATGGCATGGCTGGAGATGGTGAAACTGCTATTACGCTATTACAGCCTTTTCAAATATGCAAAATTCCGAAATCGCCCGTGATTCCATTTCCTTCGTTCCAGTTTTGTCAACTTACAACCATGGGGAATTACTAAACCAAAGAAAACATTCCTTCTACTTCTGGATTAAGGTTTCATTTCAAATCCGGGACTAAGAACAAGTCCCCTTCTCCGTATTTGTTTCAGGTTCGGAACATTGAGAGTTGTGTTTTGATGAACATGGCCACTGCGTTAAATGAATGTATGTTTTTTTACAGACAAATAATTGTGTGTGAGAGAGAGAGAGAGAGAGAGAGAGAGAGAGAGAGAGAGAGAGAGAGAGAGAGAGAGAGAGAGAGAGAGAGAGAGAGAGGTGGGCCTCTCAACTTTTTAATAATTAAAATGAATAAATAATTGTTAAACTAAAAAAATGAATTTAAAAATAGAAAATAAATACCCAATGGTATTATAGTCATTTCACTATTTAGAATGACCAAAAACGCACCAAAACTAACTCAAAATGACCACCAATCCAAAAAAATCGTGGTTTGAACTAAAACCCCCAAAAAAATACATACCACAAGGACCATTTTTACAATTTTGTCTAATTTAAATTATTATATATTTATTGCGCTTTATATGACATGACAATAAGATGACATAACAAGATGGCATTCTAACATGATTATATCACATGTATTGTGAATGATATGTATTAGACTACTATGGTAAATATTATTATCGAGGTAAATACAATTTTACTTTGGACTCCTGTAAAAACTAAATTTATCAATACATCTTATATTCATTTTAGACGCCTGTAGCACACTAAATTTTGTAATAGCTTTTACAATAAATAAATTTTGAGCTCATCATACATACTTATAAAGCTAGCATTTTTTCTTGAATCTCATGCATTTGAAACCTCCTTTTTTAACTTTCACATTCATTTGAAACCCCATTTTTTAACTAATGAAACTCAAAAATTTTCTTAATTATGATTTAACATTCAAAAGTTTTATAACTTATATTATGTTTAATTAGCATTTAGTGAAAAGTTTACTATAAAAAGATCAATCTTTTGTGTCTTTTGTGTTATATGAAATCTTACATGTAAGAAGGATTTGAAGATATTGTGATTCAAAAGTTTTCATATAGTTGAAGCATTCATGGTCCAAATATGATGATTTGAAGAAATGGGTTATATCGCATCGATGGTAATTGTAATATGATTTTTTCTTTCAACCAAAACAAATAAAGTTTTTCTATTATTTCTTTATATTCAGTTTCTCATTTAATATTTATATGTAATTTGTGTGTATTACTCAATCTTGAATGTGACTCTCCAAACATCAATGTTTTGCTTGGAATATCTTTATGATTCTTCTTTTTCAAGAAAAATATTTTGATTGCAGGTTAGTGCAGAATTGTCATCAAGTTTCTATGGTCGAATGATGTTAAATGAAGAAAGAAGATTCATAAAATTGATATAGGTTTTTTTTTTTTTAGCAAAGTTGACGAATATTAGTTTTTTCTTTTGATTTAAATGTATGTTTATGTAACATCTTTATTTATCTATTCAACCACTCAATGCTCTTATTTATTTGATTGTAGTTTTTCTATTTTGATTATGTTTATTTTCTATTATTTTTTATTGGGTTATCCTACACAACATATTTAAAAGACAATATTTAAAAGATAACATAATTTTGAACATTTGATATGTAATTATGATAGACTTATCATGATATATTCTTTATATGAAAGTAATTTATCCATATTATTACGACAAGAATTACATATGACATTTACGAAAATATATATATTATATGTGATTTGTTTAACATGTATATGCACCTATTTATGATATAAATTTATAATTAAATATCTTTATGTTTAATAATTGAAGGGATTAAAATGATGCATCAAAACCAATTATTTAGACGAATAATAATAATAATAATAATAATAATAATAATAATAATAATAATAATAATAATAATAATAATAATAATAATAATAATAATAATAATAAATATACATTTTCAAGTACCACATTCATTTGAAACTCACACTAGAACTCAAAAGTTTTCTAATTTATATATATATTTATTAGTTACAACTCTTGAGTTTTTAACTTATGATTATTAATTAGTAATCACTAATAGTTTTTTTATTTTCCTTTCTTTTATAAGGTTGTAAAGTTTTGCTCATTAAAAACATTAATGTATTTGAAGAGATTTGTGATTTAAATATGAAGAGTTAATATAAATGTTATAATAGATGTTTTAGTGTTATTATGTTATTAAAAGTTATAGTGTTTATTTTTCATATTTTTTATTATTCGTTGTATATATATTTTTTTAATACAAATATTATAATATATGTTTTTCTATTTTTATGTTACTAAAAGTTGCAGTTCATATTTTTGTTCATATGTACCCGTTATATTATCATTCATTTGATATATAATTTACACAATTTTAAACGATTTATAAAATTATCAAATAATTGCATATATCACAATGACTTAAAAATTAAACTATAATGTTTAATAAAACTAATATGCTAAGTTTATGTTTACTTTACTACTAACATTTTGTTTTAAAGTAGAAATATTAAATAATAATTTGGTAAAAGTTATTATTTTAACTATATAATTCTATTCTTGCGCAATGTGCGGGGATTCGTATAGTTTTATATTGTAGGAATGAAATTTTATGGGTAAGTTAAAGTATTGATGAATAGTAAAATTATCAATTATAATCGTCCTTCGAATTAATCTCAACCCTTCATCGTGTATGTATTTTATTTTCCTTTTGTTCCCACGTACTTAGGTCCTGTTTGATATACGTCTGACTCGGCCCGGTCAGACGTTTTTTGCTGACTCGGTTAGCTATTCTTGTTTGGGAAACAGATTTTACATGTCTGACTCTGTAAGTTAGATCTAGACGGGAAAGATATGAGATATCTGCTGACTGAGAAAGTTCCCAAAAGTACCCTTGCCTTTCCTTGCCCCTGCGTTCAAGTTTAGCGCCTCCATATGGATCTTCTCTCTTCAACGGTCGATGATCAGAACCTTTTCTCCCCACCGATCGGCGATTTCAGCCACTGTATCTGTACCGATCGAATATATCTTCTCATCAGGTACGACTTCCCTCTTCTCGGTTGCCTTTTTTTAGTTGTTTCTCTTCCGATTTCTTGATGTTTGTGTTCCGATTTTTCAATAGACCTTTCCTGTTCCGATTTTTGCTGTTTGTGTTTAGTTTTTTTGTTGTTCTTCTTCTGATTTCTTGCTGATTTGTTGTTTATTTGATTTTTCCTTGTTCTTTTTCTGATGCAGATTGGTAAATCTAATGAACTATTTCGTATAATCATCTCAATCCATTGTAAACACAAACTGATTATCGATTCGTCATCCTCGATTTGATGCCATATGACTTCTCCAGCCATTGAATTCTTATAAGTGTCGGCTGATTATTATCATCACCAGGTATGATTGAACTTCAGAATATGCATCTCTCAAAATTAAAAGGAACATGTTAGAATATGATTTAAGATGTTATTGGTTATGCTTCAGATCAGTTAAAGGTAGTATCAACTTTAGGAGGCTAAACATTCTTTGTTAATGTTGATAATGTGTTCTATTTTTTTGACCAAATTGTCCCTAAGCTTTTGTTCCTCTCCAGTTTATGATAAACATCATCGTTGGTTCTTAGGAGGCTGAAATAAGCAAACTTTTGCTGCCTAGTTTAGTAGATACTCAAGTTTATGTTATTTTGCCCGGTTCAAGTTGTAGATACTCAATTTCGGACGAAATTCCCCTGAACTTTTGTACTTGCCCTTGAGTTTTTTTTACCTGTTAGTTGGAAGATTTCATTAAATGTTCAGTTGCTCTTGGATGGTGGTGGTGAAAACATATTGTTATTGAGGTTAAGTACATTGTTTGTTTTGTGTAGTTTTCTTTTGTTTTTATTAACTTTTGTATCTCTCCAACCTCTTGCAAGCATTTCATTTATTTTAATATTATTTTTTTCCCATACCGGTAAAAAAAATCTTCCATATTCGTCCCTCAAATGTCTTTCTTTAAAATCAACAGAATGCTCTTTTTTACTTGTTTTTTTTTAACTTTGTAGATATGGAGAGTTGAAGACCATGGAGTTGTCTTCTTCAAAAGTCATGCGGGTTTGTTTAAATTTTACAAAAAAAAACATATATTTGTTACCAATGTGGAATAGCTTGGATGCAACTACCAAACCATTTTGTTGCGAAGATTAGGAAGAAGACAATTGAAGATTGTTATTTTATGTTTAAAATGACGGATTTCAGTAACCATTTGGGTTAGAACTTTATTATTTTGAAGCAATAGGCTCTTTCAAAAAAAAGAACTTGTGTTAATATGAGAATTTTAAATAATTTTTTTTTAATAAAAATGTTAATTTTGAAGTTATGTATGTCAAATAGAGTTATTATTAACATTTTTTGTAAAAGGGTAATATGGTCATTTTTACATCTTGTTCTGTCCGGTTCTATATTTACCAAAAAGTTTCGAACAACTTGTTTTGTTCAATTCCAATCTTACCAAACGCTATACAAATTATTTGTCATGTCCAGTCCAGTTCTTTTCAGTCCAATCTAGTTATGTTCCACCCAGTTCATCTACCAAACAGTACCTAATTGTGCTATTATTATTTAGGATGATGTTGATTTCATTAGTAGAAAATTGTTTTATGTTTAAAATTGTTTTTGATCATGATAAAAGTTATGATAAATTACTTTAAATATTAATGTTTTAGGATGTTGGTTTAGAACGAGGGTAAAATGGTCATTTGTTATTAGTCAGCACATCCAATCAGATGTATAATCAAACAACATGATTTCTTACTCGGTCAGGATTTCTTACCCAGATAAACATTTCCCAGTCAGCACTTTCTCAGTCAACAATTATCAAATGGGACCTTACTCCAAACGCGCAACAACTTTTTTTTTCAAATTACCCTTGATTAACTTAAATAATTTTCTTTTCTTATAATAATTTAAGCAAGCTATTTTGGTTTTCTTTCATAACTTTTGTTACGTGATACTCGGTATAAATATGAATGTAACAATTTCATTTA